GGGCGGGGTCTCGGCCGGGCCGCCCCTTTCACACGGTCTAGCGCAGAAGAAATTCAAGGGGGGGGCGTGAGGTAACTTAACCCCCCCTCCCCCATCAAGTGTTGCTGCCCCGGTCAGTTCCTCGTTTCTTTTCTTTTCTTTTCTTTTCTTTTTTCTCAAAAAGTTTTGCTGTTGGCGGGGGCCTGAAGGTTTTTCAAAAAGGGTGCGCGATGCCTTTGCTCTGCTCTGCTCGGTGGGAGGCCCCATCTCCCACGTGACTTGCATTTAGCTGGGAACTTAACCCCCCCTCCCCCATCAAGTGTTGCTGCCCCGGTCAGTTCCTCGTTTCTTTTCTTTTCTTTTCTTTTCTTTTTTCTCAAAAAGTTTTGCTGTTGGCGGGGGCCTGAAGGTTTTTCAAAAAGGGTGCGCGATGCCTTTGCTCTGCTCTGCTCGGTGGGAGGCCCCATCTCCCACGTGACTTGCATTTAGCTGGGAAATGCACTTTTATCAGATCCCCCCCCTTGTGCAGACTGCTCTGAAATGGCTTCACTTGAACCTGACTAGTGTAGGGGCGGGTACAAAATATGTAATACAGCTAACTGCTTGTGGAGCCACCGCATGAGCAAAGCAAACAAGAGACAGAAAAGCCATTAAAGATAAGGATTCCTGGACATGAGACTATGAGGCTACGTCTAGACTGGCATGATTTTCCAGAAATGCTTTTAACGGAAAAGTTTTCAGTTAAAAGCATTTTAGGAAAAGAGTGTCTAGACTGGCAGGATGCTTTTCCGCAAAAGCACTTTTTGCGGAAAAGTGTCCGTGGCCAATCTAGACCCGCTTTTCTGCAAAAAAGCCCCGATCGCCTTTTTTGCGGAAGACAAATCTCTGCTGTCTACGCTGGCCCTTTTGCACAAAAGTTTTTCAGAAAAAGACTTTTGCCCAAACAGGAGCAGCATAGTATTTCCGCAAAAACACTGACAATCTTACATGAGATCGTCAGTGCTTTTGCGGAAATTCAAGCGGACAGTGTAGACAGCTGGCAAGTTTTTCTGGAAAAGCGGCCAGTCTAGACACAGCCTGACTGTTGTGGTCTGGATGAAGCTAAGAATTTTGTCTACACTACAAAAGAAAGAATGTGCCAGGAAAGAAACATTCGAGAAGTAGGTAATACCCACGAAAGCTCACGATACCATCTGCATGTTTTGTTCATTTTTACGATGCTGCTGGACTATTCGTTGTTTAAGTTTTTACTTTTTTAGTCATACCAGTAGTAGATTACTACTAAGTCTCCTTTCAGGAATGATTTCAACCAAATTATGCTCCATAAACATTGGTGATCAGCCAAGCCTAATTAAACACCTCTTAGGGCTATCCTAAAGCATAGATCAGGGTTTTGGGAGTTTGAAGAAACAGTGAACCATATATGTCTCATAGTATATTTCTTTTATATCATGTTTTATCTTAAGGCAGGGGTTCTCAAACTTTTTGATACCCCCTAAAATGCTAATTGAATTTGTGTGACACTCCCCCCAAAGTTAAGCCAAAAAAAGGGAGGGGAGAGGGGAGCCAAGGAAACTCGTTAAGCCCTCCCCCTCCCCAAAAAGAAGCACTTGACTCACCCCTCCTGCAGTCACAGTGCTGCAGGGATGCTGCCAGTGCTGCACTCCTCCTCCGGGGCTGACACCCCCTCCTGCAGCGTGCCTGGCACGCTACACAGCTGTGATAGGGAAGCGCACTTCCAGAATCCTCAGAAATGGCATGACAGACCCTGGCAGCTGTGACCCACACTTTGAGAAACGCTGTCTTAAGGGCATGTCTGCACTTAAACCACTGCATTGGCACAACTGCAATCCTATCCTCTTAGCTTGTATCCACATCTGTATCTGCAAAAATGAGTTGTGGGTATCTGCACCCACACCTGTCGATATCCACAGATTTGCAGGGTTCTTGGTACAGATTTTGTATCTGCATCCACAAAAACGAGCTGAGGATATTCACATCCACATCCATGGATATAAAGTAGATAGCTGAAGATTTGCTGGGCTCCTTATGCATAATTAATCCACCTTCCAAAGAGGCAGTAGCAATGTTGGAAGGAGAAACTCTCCCACTGACAAAAGTGTTGCCTACACAGGCGGTTAGGTTGGTATTACTATGGCTTTCGGGACGTGGATTTTTCATCCCTCCGAGTTGTGCCAATAAAGATCTGTACTGAAGACCAGACCTCATTGTCTTGTATATTGAAGATAGGCTTTCCTCGGATCAGTTACAATATATTTTAGAGGTAATGCTGGTTTCCATATTGGGTAGGAGCTTAGAAACTTGAAACAGGTTCCAGTCATTGCTCTGCCACATATTTTCCATGTGATCTTGGGGAAGGCACTTAATCTGATCTGCGTGTCAAGAGTTTTACTGTCGTAACTATGTTAAAGGAAAAAAAAAACCCTCCCCACACATCTATAACCACCATCTTTACATCAGCAAAAACCCTAGTGTAGATGTAGTTATGCCAGTGTAAGGTGCTTTATAGTGGTATAGCTTAGGTCACTTTGCTCATTTGGAATAAACTGTCCTAATATAAGTACTTTAATACCATACTTGCATGGATTGAAGCGTGTGGGGAGAGGAAAGGGTTAGCTCTTTAATTATGCCAGCACAGTTCAAAAAAACAAAAGTTAAGTGTAAACAAGGCCTTAGTGTTTCTGGTTAAGTCTTCGTACACTGCTGGAGTGAGCCTCCCAGCTCAGGTTGCTAGACTTGGGTTTGCCTTGGTGCTCTAAAAATAGCTCTTTAGAGAGTACTTGGAAGTTGTGACTTGGACTTTGAAGTCCATTCCTCCCTTAGGCTTCAGAGTCTGAACTGCAACTTCAAGCTGTGGGCTATGGAGTGCCAGCGTGAGCCACACAAGCCCAAGTCTGTCAGCCCAGGCTGAGAGGGCTCCTGCTACGGCTTGCGTGGATGTAGCTTGTGCCTCAGTTTCCTCTGTAACGGGGTAATGGCTTCCCTCTCAGGAAGGGTTCTGAGGCTAAATCCATAAAAAAGACTGCTAGGTACTCAGTGGCCCTGTAAGTTGCTCAGACAGACGGGTGAACCAGATGAGCTGGTTGACAAACTAGATTTCACAATTCTCACCCCTCTCTTCCTTTCAGGAATTCATTAAATGACGACTTGTTATTGCCATATCCTCCTTCCTACCACGGCCCTCGTCACCATCACAGGTACATCAGAGACTGCCAAGCTGTCCTGCACGGCAACGTAACGCATGAAACTTGGCCCAGTAACACTAGTGCTGAGCTCCCCATCACCACGACGAGGGGATTCGTGTCTTACTTCTCGCCAGTGAGTGAGACGCGACGGGAAGTCTATGGCCACTTTACCTTTGTCAGCAATCCCCTGAGAACCTTCTCCGTGTTAGAGCCCGGTGGCTTGGGAGGTTGCAATTCCAGCGTTCGGGCCACTGTGACAGAAACTGCACGGCGTGGCAAGTGCCTTGTGGCACAAAATGGTGGCTACTTTGATATGGTCACCGGAGAATGCCTGGGGAACATCGTGAGCGATGGGAGGCTCGTGAGAAGTGCCGGAGGTGTGCAGAATGCTCAGTTTGGCATCAGGAAGGATGGCACCATGGTGTTTGGGTAAGGATCTGACACTTTTTTGTGGCATTTTCTTCTCCCGAAAGGCTCAGTGATGAACATGAAGGCAGAAAGTGCCCCTCTAGGAATTGGCTTCTGGGCCTTCCCCCAACTATAACAATGAGGCGTTTTAACTCCTTAATTTACAGAGTAGCCCTGTTTGCCTGATCTCTGATGACGTCTCCTCATTGAAAAGAAGCACTGGCGGTATGATCTATCAGAGCAACTTTATGGGAAGACAGAGTAGCCCTGTTTGCCTGATCTCTTGACGACATGTCTCCTCATTGAAAAGAAGCACTGGCGGTATGATCTATCAGAGCAACTTTATGGGAAGGCCCTGATTATTTTTCTAGGGCTCAGTAGACCTTGTCAGCCTCATCACTGGGCTGACTTGTATTCACGTAGCTGCTTCATTTTTTTTTTGGGCCCTGATTATTTTTCTAGGGCTCAGTGGACCTTGCCAGCCTCATCACTGGGCTGCCTTGTATTCACGTAGCTGTTTCATTTTTTTTTAAAATAACTTTTACGTTGTTGGAAGGAGGAAACAGATCTTTCAGTTGTGTCGAAAGTCTTCTCTGTTTCTCTGGAATAACACCATGCAGGTCCAGGGTTACGGAGGAAACAGATCTTTCAGTTGTGTCGAAAGGGTTCTCTTGTTTCTCTGGAATAACACCATGCAGATCCAGGGTTACTTTTACAGACTGTTCCAAACAGCCATCGTTTTTGCATTTCAGCATCATCCATTGCCTGCATAACTGATGCCCCTGTAGAACCAATTTCTGCTCTCTTGGTCGGTCATGGATTGGGTACACAAAAGATCTGCGACTGTCACTTTCATTAATTAATTGTAGGCAAATAGAGCCCAGCTATTAAAAAAACTGGTGAGTGGCTAAGTACTAGGAAGGCTTTCCGAGTCTCACACTGGCTTCTTTAAACATGGAACACCACATACGTTGAGGTCTATTGAAGAGTAAATTTCCACCTTTTCAGTTCAGGGCTTTGTAGTTCAGGTGGACGTTTTCCCCCCAAAAATCTGCTCTCAAATCATTTTGGAAAGGTTCTCTGACCTGTGTTAAATGGCAGGTTAGGCTGGATGATCACAGTGGATCCCTCTGGCCTTGGAATCTGAAATCACTCGCCAGGAAGTCCCTTAGGGCCTGAATACCCACAGTTTGTTGATTTCCACTAGGGATGTGAAAGGTTAGCCAGTTAACCGGTAGCGTCACTGCTATATTTACCTACACCTTCACAGTTACCAGCGATCACAGCTCCCGTCGGCCACAGATCACCATTCCTGGCCAATAGGAGCAGCCGGAAGTGGCCATTGGGAGCTGCAATTGCTTGTAGAGGCACAGGTAAATATAACGGTGGGAGCCTGCCAGGGACTAACCATGGATCTGGGCCATGGGCTGGTATTTGCCCACCCCTTGTCTAAAGTACAGTGTGTTGCCATAATCTCCCCACCATTTCTCCTCTGGCTTGGCTCTCCTGGAGCTACCCATGGCAAGAACTCTAGCGTACCCAGGGGGCTGGTGGTCACTTGGTATTACCCACTGTGTTGTATAGATCTGCTGTGAACCAGGCTCAGCCCATCACTTCTGCATTGGTTTAGTCTTGTTTCCTGAGCACTGGCAGAGCTGCCTGTTACCAGCAGTCAATGGATGTCCTTATGTAGGCAAGGCAATAGTCTGGCATCACTAACAGATTTCTGGGCACCTCGATGAATCCTCCAACTCCTCTGGTCTCTCTCCCAGTTACCTGTCTGAGGAGGACGTCTTGGATCAAGTGAACCCATTTGTGCAGCTGGTGAGCGGTGTTGTCTGGCTGCTGAGGGATGGAGAAGTGTACGTTGGTCAGAGTAAGACAGCGGAGTGTGACACGACTCAAACCACAGGTAAAGATCCTCCGCTCCTGCCTCCATTCTGCCAGTGGGACAGGTAAAGATCCTCCGCTCCTGCCTCCAGTCTGCCAGTGGGCTCCCTTGTGAGGGGGCTGTAAATGGGCATCTTCAGAAATGGTTTGGTTTCATTGCTGTAGATCTTGTCTGCATTGGTGCGTGCCAAACCCATTGTCAGCCCAGGGTGCGTCTGCAAACCGTGGTGCATCTACATGCGTAAGCGGGGCTAAATTCTTTGCCATGCGGCTTGGGGAGGAAGGGAGGGTGGGGACAGCATGTGCTACCTGGTCATGGAACCAGAATCATGAACATCTCTCCCTGTTGCTACTGCCAGTGCGGTTCCTCAGCCAGAGCCAGCAATGGGCTTGCTCCTGCTGTGCTAGAAACCACGCCCTCTAATGCTGCTCTGTGTAGGGCTGAACGGCATGAAAGTTCAAGTGCCATTGCTGGTGCTAGGTCTGCACTGCTGGTGGTAGGGCTGAAAATAAACTTTGCTCAGATAAGCATAGAGTCTTATTTTGTCCGGGTTATGAGGCAAAGCACCTTGGTGCTCATGTCTGGTCGTGGTGGGAGGCGGGGAGCAGAGGATTACCAGCTCATGCCCATAAGTCAGTATCTTGATGCTGTCTCTTCCTACCCCCCACCTCCATAGCTGCAGTCACAACATATAACAGTGGGCACTCTCCCCTGGAAGTGTGAGAGAACAGGAGCCTAGATCCTGGAGTCAAGACTGTGTCTTCCAGATCCACATTCGTAGAGCCCCAACCAAAGTCACTTCTAATTTTGCGGAATAATGGTCCGTGCACCGCGGTGTGTGCGGATGTGCACCGTCAGTAGAAGCACATGCTGCTGGCTTTGGGTGCTCTGCTAATCAGCTGGGCAGCATTTGAATCTCTTCTGAGTGGCTGCCCAAGTGCTCAGCTTGCAGGGAACCCTGGCCCTGACCAGAGATGTTGAGTGCTAGCAATAATAGTACCCAGGTAGTCTTAGGCCTGCCGGTGCTAGCAAGAGTTCCTGTTTTAGTGTGAATGCTTCTCCATGGAGAACTAGATTGAAGCCAGAAACTCCTCTCACGAGCAGTTGGCATCAAGTTGGGCTGTAACTGAACCCATGGGCTTCTTCTCCCACTCCCCATCTCCTGAAGCTAGCCAGTCTCTTATAACCAGAGTGCTACGGACATTCTCATCCCTGGTTCCTGTGTGACGTTAGATGGGGAAGGCTGGAGTCCAGTTAGTAACTACTGTTCGGTGTGTGTAAAGCCAGCTCCTTTGCCTCCTGTTAGATATCCTTTCTCCTCATGCAGGGACCTTTGACAAGTTCATCAATACAACATCTGCCAGGACAGCAGTGGGACATGACCGGTTCGGGCGTCTGATCTTGGTCCATGTGGATGGGCAGACTGATGCCAGGGGGTAAGGCTGAGGACTGGTTCTTTAGCAGACTCATGGGGCAGGCAAAGGATCAAAGGGATTGATCCAGTATCGCTGCCGGTGCAGAGAACTGCATCAGCGCCCGTGTTCAGTAAAGCCGGGTGTAAGCTTTAGGCACCGTATAAAAGTTTGTGGTGATAGGCAAAGCCAGGCACTCTTGAGTCTATGAGAGACGGAACAGCCCTGCAGGGCTCCATTACTGCTAGCAGTGCCCTGTTTAACCAGCTGGGCTCCTGATGCTCCATTCTCCCTTCGAAAGTCACTATAAATGGAGCCTCTTTGGTCTGGGACCCTTTGATCCAGCAACATCCGGTCCATGGATGTTGCCAGACCAGAGAGCCCCTGGACCAGAGACCCCGGCAACTGCAGCCGGGATAAAACCCGAGAGAATTTAAAAGTGTTGGAGCTCATCAGCCCTGGTGTAACTCTGGCTTAAAAAGAGGTCCATTGTGGATATCTTGGAACAGTAAATGGAGGCAGCCACGTTGACATGGAGTCAGTTTAAGATTAAAGTACTTTAGCTGAAAAAGATTTGAGGGCTGTGGTGGATAATCAGCAGAACCTGAACTTCCAGCGTGACTCTGGCCAAAAGAGCTAATGGAATCGTGCGATCTAGAAATGGGGGAAGAGGTTGTTTTACCTCTGTATTTAGCACTGGTGCAACCGCTGCTGGAATCCTGGGTCTAGTTCTGGAGCCCACAGTTCAAGAAGGATGACAGCTAGAGATGTAAGGATGCGTCTATACAGCACCCTAAACTCGAAATACGATATGCAATTGCGTATCGTATTTCGAATCTATTTCGAAATAGCTTATTTTGAAATTTGGTGTGTGTACACAGCACCAGATTTCGAAATAACTTGCTATTTCGAGACATCTCTTAACCCTTGTGGGACAAGGATTAGCGGGATGCCGAAGTAGCGCGCCCGTTATTTCAAAAAATATTTTGAAATAACGGGCGGCTTGTATAGACACGAGGTAGCTATTTCAGGGTACCTCCGGTATTGCGAAGTAGCCGTGCAGTGTAGACATGCCCTAAGTGAGTAGTCGACTAACCTATAAGCCTAGACTTGTTGGTTAATCTAGTCGACTACTCGGTTCTCCCCCCCTCCCCCGGGGGAAGGTGGAGGAACAGAAGCCAGTACTGGGGGCAGCCGACTTAAAAGCTGTTTTTCCCCCAGCATTGTCTCTGTGGTGCCACCTGCCCACTCCCCCATTAGAAGCAGCAGCGTGGGGCGAAGGGGGCAGAAGAGGCTGCCATGAAGCAGCCTCTGCCTGTGGCAGGCCCAGGCTCCACATCACACGTGGCAGCCTCTGTCCGTGGTGAGTGTGGGCCCACCACAGGCACTGGCTGCTCCGGCAGCAGCCCCTGTCCACAGTGGCCCAGGCTGGCCATGCACAGAAGCTGCTCTGGCTGAGCAGGGAGCCTGACTTGGTCTCAGCTCCTGCTGGGTCTGGGCCCTACCCCTGCTGCGGCTCTGCATGTCAATGTTGTAAGGCCCACAGCAGGGGTAGGTCCTGAACCCGGCGCGAGAGGAGACTGAACCGGGCTGCCTTCCCTTATCGACTGATCGAGTAGTCAATACAAATTCTATCGACTATGCCATTAGCCATGTAACCGCATCTTAACATCCCTAACGTCAGCAAATTGGAGCGGGCTCAGAGAAGAGCCACGAGAATGATTCAAGGGTCAGAAAACCTGCCTTATCATGACAGACTCAAAGAGCTTAATCCACTGAGCTTACCAGAGAGAAGGTGAAGGGGTGAGTCTGCATGTATTTACACGGGGAGCGAATATGTAGGAGAGGGCTCTACAGTCTAGCACAGACAGGTAGAACTTGACCCAAGGGCTGGAAGTGGATGTTAGGCAAATGGACACTGGAAATAAAGGCATAATTTTTGAACAGTGCGAATAATTAAAGTTTGGTGCAATTTATCAAGTGCGGTGGTGGGCGTTTTGCTTCACTGACTATTTTAAAGTCAAGTTTGGGTGGTGTTCGAAGTGAGATGCTCTAGGAATTATTGTAGGGAAGTTCTCCGGCCTGCCATCTACAGGAGATCAAACTGTAGCAGAGGTTCTCAGACTGTATTCTGGGGGGTAAGGCATGAGTTTTAAGTGGGGCGAGGGGGAGAGACACAGTGCGCACTTTACCCACAGCAACGAATAACTAGCAAAGCCGATTCCTCCAGACATATCAGGCTTTCAGATGGTACCACATATGGGACTCTAGATGGCACCGTGCACTATGGCAGATTTCTGTAAACCTCGTATAGTACTATTCAAAGCCATTGCCCCGTGTTTATTAATTCATCTGCTACCGCCCGGTGTGCACATTTAATTGTAAGCGTGGACCATGGCTGCAGTTTGGCTTTTGCTCTTACTCCAGTAAAACGTTGGCTCATTTGTGCAATAGGGGAAAAAAGAAAACCCCAGTCAATTCAAGTGAGAAACAAAGAAGCCCAAACCGATTCAAGCGCAGCACTACCACAGCATAGACCGTTATGTGTACTTGTGTGGAGGGCACATACGCAACGGCAGGCACAAAGAAAGTGGGGAGCAATTAAGTTTTGAGAACCGCTGGGCTAGATGATCACAGTGGTGCCTTCTGGCCCTGGACTCTCTGATTTCCAGCTCTGCACCAGCGCCTTCTGGCCCTGGACTCTCTGATTTCAGGCCCTGCACGAGTTTTCCCTGACAGTGTTATGCGGTTCTACTCCCCTTTTCCTAGAGTAAACTGTGTCTTTTCTCTGTGAGGGACCTGTCAACGCAACAGGGGAAAATAGCCACCTCGATTGAAGGAAACAGTGAATTTGACTCTTTTCCACAGTGCTGCCATGTTCGTGAAGTAGCACTGGAGGAGGAAACGTTGATGTGCCCCAGGGGCTTTGAGCTCACTTTTGAACTCTTGCTGTTGGTGTAGCACTCCCAGCCTGGGGGTTTCCACTGTCATAGCTGCTGTAGTGCAAAAATCCAAGGGGAGCCCTTTCACGTCTATAATTCCAGGGCCGTCGTTGTGAGGGGGCCTGGCAGGATTCAGGTGTTATTGGCTACTATCGGTAACAACAATTCCACCATAGGCGCAGACTGACCAAAAAAAATTTCTATTGACAGTCAAAGTTTCCAGATAGGCAAGGAAGGAAAACACTGCTTGGGAAGTTACTGAGTTGTATTTAAGGATCTTTACTCTGTATATTTTGACATGTGACAGTTTGTGCTTTAATGGTTATAAGACTGTAACCTTTTGAAGCCCAATATCTGCTGTCATTCCATCGTTAGTGTCTGACCCTTCTCCCACAGAGTTTCCAACAACTGTGAACATATCAATAGATAAACATTTAAAACACTTAAAAATAAAACATCCATCCAAATTCTATTAAAAATCTCAAATTCTGCCAAGCCGAAATATCTGTGTTAGCCACTGGCCACCAGCGGAAATGTTTGTGTCGTTTATAAGAAGACTGGCCTAAACCTGAACAGAGTTTAGATCCATGGAGAAGGTTCCGGAAAAGGTCCCTCCAGATTCTCAGTGAGGCTGCTGCTTTGCTCCCTTGAGGCTAAGCTGCCAGTAAGTGGCTTTTGTTTTGCAGCCTCAATCTCTGGGAATTGGCCGACTTTCTGAAGGAGCACGGTGTCGTGAATGCGATCAATCTAGATGGCGGAGGGTCAGCCACGCTGGTTTTAAATGGAACCCTTGCGAGTTACCCGTCGGATCACTGGTAGGTGCTATATGATGAACATGATGGGGCCACCTTAGCTTCCCCATTCGTTGCCAGAGGAGCTCTCCTCTACATAGGAGTCGCAGGGCTGAACTCAGATGAGAGTAGGCAATGGTCCTAAACTAAAGTTCTCCATCCCCTCTTGCCCAGGTGCTAAGTACCCCACCTGGCTACCTAACAGCTGTCCCCCACCCCAGAGGTGGCTGCATTTTGGTGGTGCCTATCAGCCCAGCACCTCCCCTTGGGCTCTTTCGGGCAGGAGTGTGGTGTCTAGCTACAAGGGCTATTGTTTTAAATTAGCATGTAGAGTTCAGCCCTTCTCACCTTGTATCTAGGAGGGAATAATCAGCATCTGAAGCATTAGGCATTCCCTCAGTAAAAGCCAGGGACGTTTTTTCTGTGAGGGAGTGATGACTGGGATTTGGGGCGATTACCTGATTTCCCCTAGTGCGCTGGTATTAACAGACCTCGCTGTCCTCAGGCTGCTTGAGGGGCTGAGTGACTGAAGTGGGGATGAGATATGAAGTGGCTGGCAAATGATCCACAGCTCCGTACATGTTACTAAGAACGAGCACGGTCCTTCTAGAGGACTCAGCGATCCGTTTTTGCCAGTATCTGCATCCTCCACTCCTGTTGTAGGAACGGTGAATTTTTCACACCCCAGCTCTGCCTCTTGTCCGCAGCAAGTTGGACGCCATGTGGCGCTGCCCTCGGAGCGTCTCGACTGTCATGTGTGTCCACGAGCCTGCTTGTGAGCCTCCGGACTGCAGCGGGCACGGGCGCTGCGTGCTGGGCGAGTGCCACTGCGCCGGCGACTTCTGGAGAGGAGCAGACTGCAGCGTCCTGGACTGCGGGCCTTCCAACTGCAGCCAGCACGGCATCTGCACGGCGTGTAAGCCAGCCCTTTTCACAGGGCAGGCCCATTGCACCTGGTGGGAGGGGGTTCACTTGTGCCGCAGGCTAGTGTGGCCTCACAGCCAGTTAGGGGACAGTGGGCAGGCGGGG